GGATAGTTGGAACAGACAGAGCCTCTGCAGGAGAGCACAGGGGAGAACATGAAGCCAAGTAGGGGACAGAGACAAGGTGGTACTGGAGGAATCTAAAGTCTCTGATGGGCACAGAAGAACCAGATTCCACCCTGGTCACCACTGAAAATACAGACTGCAGAGGTACCTCTGAGGATGTTCAGAAAAGCTGTAGACTAAGTGCCTAGCAAAGATAGGACATGAGAAACTATAGGCAAAAAATGCATCCAATAAACTAATAAGGCAAGATCAACTCTCCAACACAAGATATGTGGTTATCAACATAAATATAAGACACATCAGAGTAAAAGACCAGAGCCATAGTAGACAAACGATCTGAACATGACTGTGAATGACAGAGCACTTAGAGCTATCTAATAAAAGAGCATACTTAGTAAAATCTCCACATGACCTTAGGGGGAGACTACAGGATCTGACAGTGACTCTGCTGACAGATGGAAACATTAATATCAGATGGAATTTCCTAACAGTCAGAAGCACTGTGCTCTGCATAGAAGGAGCCTTGTGCACATTCAGCAGAGGGGTTGGCTCAGCCTGCAAGTGAGGTCAGGGCTTAAAAAAGTGTCATTGGAAGTCAGGCAAACCGAATTGCAAAGACTAGAAGGAGTGAATGAAACAGGAATAATTATAAAACATTGTAACACAGATGTGTTTCAAAGTCAACTGACAAGTACAGCTGCTGGTGTTCAGGAACATTCAAAACATTGAAATTTCCAAACACACATATTTTGGTTTGAAAGTTAAACACAATTTTGCCCCATATTTCTGTTTTTCAGACAAATTTCAGTAGATTTTGAGGAAGACTGAGGCAACTATATGGCCCCACTTCACTCTCTTCATATATTCAAAAATGGTGAAATAAAACAGATGTCAGGGGAAGGGGGTTGGGATCCTCACCTACATCTCTGAGGAAGGTTAATAATATCCAGAATAAAATTCAACTGTCCTGATTCTCAGCTCTGCAATCAGACCTGAGTCACTATAAGCAGAGGGGACAGTCTGAGCTCCCTGAACATGGGACAGCACTTGATATGGGGAGTGATGTTTGAGGTCTCTGCAGGCACTGATATGGGCAGGGCCAGCTCCCACCTCAGACTCAGCAGTCAGGGAAGTCTCTGCTCTTTCTGAGTCAGGGTAGCGTTTGTGTCTGGAGGTGACCAAACTGACTCTACTCAAGACTTTTGCACATGGACAGAAACAAATGGAGATGAGAACCAATTCATCTCACATTACATTTAACAATCCCTCATGTCAGTGAAAACACTGAGTAGGATAAATTAAAGAAAAATACACCTGAGGTGAATGTGGAAATTGCAGTTACTCTGCCAATACCCTTCAAAGTGATCATGGACCTTCCTTCATTTCTAACATACTCAACAAGCATGAAAAGCATCACAGATTAGCTGAGAACTACATTCCTCTTGAAACTTCACTGGTGAAGCAAATTGAAGAGTTAAGTCATACTTTACAAAGACACATTGCCAAAATACATCAGGAAAGTTATTTGACTGGGGATGAGATGCTGCCAGTTGTCCTGTTGTGGGTTCGAGGAGCAGGCTAAGTTTGTGCCCCTTTAGAATATTACATTGGAGGCCATTCCTGATTCCTGCCTTGGTGCAACAACCAACTGACACATGAGGAGATTTACCATTGCAAAATGACTCCAGGCACTGTACTGACCTCTGTTCATGAGTCTGCTTCAAGCAGGACCACTCCTCCACAGACAGGGCCGTACCTCCTCTTTGGATAATTGGTTGGGTGTCCTGCAGACATGGACAGAACAAGGGCCTAAAGATCATCTGTGCCTGGGAACACTTAAGGTGCTGCTCTTTTCTCCACTACTCAGTTAAACTCCCTGGTTAAAGCTGTGGGCACAGCACACTCAGAGTCACATCCAGCAGACTTCTGCCATCTCTGAAAGCACAAAGACCGTGGGCTCAGGAGTCCTGGAGGACCTGCAGCTGCTCTGTCATGAGAAGGATAAATGACATAAAAATGACCACTGTTTGCTTGACTTGTCCTTTGGCGATTTTCACTTGAGTGGAAAGACAACTATTCACAATCTCTCCGTCTATTGACCCCTCCCTAACCTATCCCACTGCTGGGTTGACAGCCTCGGCCTCAGCCAGGTCAGTGTTATGAAGTGTGAAAGTAAAAAACCAGGAATGCTAATTAATTGATGCCAGTTTAGGAGCCTTTATCAGGTTGGCCAACTGAATGCCCCTCTACGTGGATTGAGGGGGAACAGTACTGTCTTTGTTGGGTAAACTTCAGTCCATCCTGAAAGAGTACAAGACCAGAGGTATTTATATCCATACTGGGAATGACCAATCTCTGTGAAATCCACCTCCCATTGTTCTCCTGGTGTCTCACCTCTCAGTCTGGTACCAACGGAGCTCTTTTTCCTGGGGCTGCATTCACTCTTTCACATGCCTGGCATCAGCTGGCTATCTGTCTCACCATTGCATGTAGTTGGGGTATGTAGTATTCCTTCTGGACTAGTTCAGTCAACTTAGTACTTCCTAAATGGGAACTGTTGTGTACCTGCTGAGGGAGCTTTCTTCCTAGTTGTTGTGGAACAAAGATGCATTTGTTGGGGAGAATTTTCCAGTCTAGCCAATCCTCTTTTGTTTGGAGCCTCTCCCCCAACCCTTTCTCCTCCTCTGAATAGATTGGAGACATTGGGACAGTCTGGCAGGGTATAGTGGGAAGGATGTTCAGGGGCTCTACAGGGTCTCTGGCCACTTGGTTGGCATAGGCATTGCCCCTCATCATGGGAGAATTTTCAATCTGATGGCCTTGGCAGTGGATGATGGCTACTTTGGTTGGCAGCCATATGGCTTCTAAGGAGAGCTAAAATCTCCTCTTGATTCTTTATTTCCTTTTCTCTCTGAAGTGAGGAATCCC